TGCTCTGGTTCTGGGGCTTCGTCTGGGTATGGACAGTCGGCTGCGTAGCCAGGGGCCTGAGATCCTTATGGCTTATCCATTGTCCCCTTCCAAACATCCCCACGTGGCTTTTTGATGCAGGACCCAGCGGGCTGCCAAATGGGCCGAGTCAGCGGGGGTTACAGGAGTCGAGGGCTTAGCCCACTTTCCTACGGATATCGAATTTTTGACACATGTCAAGTAATGAGTGGGCCCCCTCCCTCCTCCCTATGCGTGGGAACAAAACAATGGGTTGCTGCATAGAGGATAGGGCTCTAGAAAAGCAGAGGTACCTCTCCTCCGTTATGCAGGAACTGGTCTTCTGCCTGAGAGGGGGCAGGGCCGGACATATGTGAGCTGTGCCCTGTTTTTCTCCGCTGCTGGCCTCTAGGCCAGTCCCCTCTGGCGGCGTTAAAGAGAGTCACTCTTTAAGGATCATAATAACCTTAACCGACACCCTAGAATCACTACAATTTGCATCCCACCCCAACAGATCCACGAACGACGCAATTGCCATTGCACACTGCCCTATCCCACCTGAACAAGAGGAATACCCAGGTAAGAACGCTGGTAATTTACTACAGCTCAGCCTTCATCACCGTAGTGCCCTCCAAGCTCATCACTAAGCTCAAAGTCCTGGGTCTGAAACCCTCACCTGTGCAACTGGGTCCTAGTCTTCCCGACGGGCCGACCCTGGGTGGTGAAGGTAGGCAACAACACCTCCGCCACGCTGATCCCCAACACGGGGGCCCCACAGGGGTGCGTGCTCACCCATGACTGCATGGCCACGCATGTCTCCAACTCAATCATCAAGTTTGCTGACAACACAACAGTGGTAGGCCTGATTAACAACAATGACGAGACAGCCTACAGGGGAGGGAGGCCTGAGAGTGGTGCCAGGAAAATAACCTATCCTTCAATGTCAACAAAATGAAGGAGCTGATCATGGACTACAGGAGACAGCTGAGACAGCAAGCCCCCATCCACATTGATGGGGCCGCAGTGGAGAGGGTCAAAAGCTTCAAGTTCCTTGGTGTGCGCATCACTAAGGACCTAAAATGGTCCCTTTCACACCGACAATATGGTGAAGAAGACGCAACAGCAACCTCTCCAACCTCAGGAGGCTGAAGACATTTGGTTTGGCCCCTGAGACCGTCACAAACTTCTACAGATGCACCACCGAGAGCATTCTGTCGGGCTGTATCACCCCATGGTACAACTACACCGCCCGCAGCAGCAGGACTCTCCAGAGGGTGGTGCGGTCATCCCAACGCGTCATCAGGGGCACACTGCCTGCCCTCCAGGACATCTACATCACACATTGTCACAGAGACAGAGGTAATTTTACTTTCCGGTAAAAAGCTAAACTCTCTCGACAAGAAGCTGGATTCCTATGCTCTGCGAATCCTCACAGTTTAGCAGGAAAACAGTAGTCCAAGTCGATGCTGAGGAGAGTATATTAGCAGTATTACGACATCGTAAGGAAGAATGAAAAGTGAGGCAGGAGGAAGCGACAGCACCTTATAATAAAGCGGGGTTCCCCCTTATTGGCTGTCGCTGCTTTCTATGACAGACGTTGTGTGATAGGAGTTCCTTGTTGACTACACCCAACAGAGATGTACCCATACTGTACCCAGACCAAGTGATTATTTGAAATACAGTGCCTTGCAAAAATTCATCCCCCTTCGCGTTTTTCCTATTTTGTTGCATTACAACCTGTAATTTAAATTGATTTTTTATTTGGATTTCATGTAATGGACATACAAAAAATAGTCCAAATTGGTGAAGTAAAAAATAAAAATAAAACATTTGAAAAATAAATTCTAAAACAAATTTAACAGAAAAGTGGTGCGTGAAAATGTATTCCCCTTTGCTATGAAGCCCCTAAATAAGATCTGGTGCAACCAATTACCTTCAGAAGTCACATAATTAGTTAAATAAAGTCCACATGTGTGCAATCTAAGTGTCACATGATCTCAGTATATATTTACATTTGACATTTTAGTCATTTAGCAGGTGCTCTTATCCAGAGCGACTTACAGGAGCAATTAGGGTTAAGTGCCTTGCACAAGACGACCTGGTTGGTGATCGGGAGCTGTTGGCTGTTGTCCGAGCCCTGACCGTGTGGAGGCACTGGCTCGAGGGGGCGAAACACCCTTTCCTCGTCTGGACGGACCACTGTAACCTGGTGTACATCCGGGCAGCAAGGAGGCTGAACCCTCGCCAGGCCAGGTGGGCCCTATTCTTCACCCGGTTTGATTTTACACTATCTTACATCCCGGGTACAAAGAACGTGATGGCAGACGCACTGTCATGGCTGTACGACACAGAGGAGAGGCCCATAGACAACACCCCCATACTCCCGGCCTCATGCATTGTGGCGCCGGTAGTATGGGTGATGGACGCGGACATAGAGTGGGCGTTACACACAGAGCCATCTCCACTTCAGTGTCCAGCTGGGCTCAGTACGTGCCTGCTCTTGTCCGTGACCGTCTGATCTATTGGGCACACACGTCCCCCTCCTCTGGTCACCCAGGTATCGGTCGTACAATGCGCTGCCTGACCGGAAAGTACTGGTGGCCTACCTTGGCTAAGGACGTGAGGGTGTATGTCTCCTCCTGCTCGGTGTGCGCCCAGAGTAAGGCACCTCCCAGCAGGTAAGTTACAGCCCTTACCAGTTCCACAACGGCCATGGTCCCACTTGAGTATTGATTTCCTTACTGATCTTCCCCTCTCTCAAGGTAACACTACCATCCTGGTCCCCACGGTGCTGCAGACTGCGGAGGCCCTGTTTACACACATCTTCCGGCACTACGGGGTGCCAGAGAACATAGTGTTTGTTGTGGGATTTTCACCGTTGCCATCCGGCTCGCCCTGCTCAGCGTCCTCCTGTCCGTCCCCGAGGCCGGTTTCGGCGCACTGCTGGAGCTGCACGTCAAGGTGGGGGGGTAATGTCACGACTTCCTCCGAAGCTGCCTCCTCTCCTGGTTCGGGCATGCTTCGGCGTTCCTGCGCAACTGTGGTTGCGGAATAAAGTCTGTTATTCTGTGATTTACCCTCCTGCGCCTGACTCCTTCAACATCACCTCATCACAGCATACTGCTAAAGCAACACTCGAGTGGTTTAAGGGGAAACATTTAAATGTCTTGGAATGGCCTAGTCAAAGCCCAGACCTCAATCCAATTGAGAATCTGTGCTATGACTTAAAGATTGCTGTACACCAGCGGAACCGATCCAACTTGAAGGAGCTGGAGCAGTTTTGCCTTGAAGAATGGGCAAAAATCCCAGTGGCTAGATGTGCCAAGCTTATAGAGACATACCCCAAGAGACTTGCAGCTGTAATTGCTGCAAAAGGTGGCTCTACAAAGTATTGACTTTGGTGGGGGTGAATAGTTATGCACGCTCCATTTTTCTGTTTTTTTGTCTTAATTCTTGTTTGTTTCACAATAAAAAATATTTTGCATCTTCAAAGTGGTAGGCATGTTGTGTAAATCAAATGATACAAAAATCAATTTTAATTCCAGGTTGTAAGGCAACAAAATAGGAAAAATGCAAAAGGGGGTGAATACTTTAGCAAGCCACTGTAGAACATCAAATTCACAAGTAGCAACTACAAGGGCATCAGACATATGATACCTCGGCTCTTTCTGTCCATTTCAATTTGGCTGACAAGGGAAATACAGTACCACCTCAAATATGAAAAGCTAAATGGTAACAAGTGAAAAGCAGAGGATAACAACATAAATTGTGATAATCCTCCCCTAGTTGTGTTCAACTTGGTCCTCTTCTCACACTAGTGCCAATTTTATTCAGGTCATCGGAAAAGAAACGGGGATGCTTGATAGTTTGCACTTCACTGCTTAGGAGTCTAAACAAGTTGCACAATAACCTAAAATTTTTATGGAGAGTTGAGATAATAGCTTTCCATATCATGTAATCTTATGAGGCAGAATCTTATCACTCACAGTAATTAGTTCAGATTTCATTTTTTATCTTGTTTGCATCTCAAAACCAGCTACCATTGGTGCATATTATAACTGAAATGTATTTTCATGCCTAAATTGCCAAAGTGACCCTAGGCTGTGACATCCTTTAAGAAAAATCTACAAACAGGATTTTGAGTGATTTTTCAAGTTTGTTCAACTGGAATTTAGGCTTTACTTCAGCTGCCCTGGAAAATCACAAGCTAAAGGGGAGGGTTAAAACTCCTAGTTGTTCAACTAAGGAAACCGCTTAGATGTTGACCAGCACTAAAACATGTACAAACCTGAAATGCTGACAAAATTGATGGATTGAAATTAAAATGACAAGTTCAGAAGGGAACCAAAAGTAAAATACTGGTCAACTTCAGGGCAAAAAACTGAGCACCAATAAATACAACTAGTGTGAGTTAATGACAGCGCGGTTAAGGGCATTGATGGAAATGTGACTAGCCATGAGAGGGCGGTTCTGAAAAAGCAGATGGGTGATTATATGAGCTAAGACATGCTAATCTAGTATGGCAGGTGAAAGAAAGATGATTTTAATCAGTTAATGTCTTCAAATAGGAGGCGAGACCAATGTAGTAGCCCCTACTGTTTTTCTTCTTTACAAAAAACAAATCATCCAACAGAAAGGCCGGCAGGAGGCATGTAAAAAAAAAAAGAAAGAAGAAAAAAAAGTTAAGGGATGAATGGTAAGCACAAACTAGTCACAGCATGACCATAAGCTCAATATCCACCAGATATGACAATATTGCCATCCATCTTTCCCATTCTGAAGAAAGAAAGCAAACTGTATCGACAATTTCTTGACAAACTCATTTACCTACTATCTCATTAACCCATAGCTCTTAGAAAGGGGCAGCTGGTGAAGGGAGGTGGGAGTGCGGGATGAACACACTTCACAGCTGGGGCCTCGCCTCGGGCTCCCACACCCCAAAAATAGCCCTCTCCCCACAGACACAAGCCCTCACCCCCTCAGGCCGGACTTTGGCAGCAGCTCTACAGCCGGTCCATCCGAAAGGCGTCTTCAGTGGCGGGGTCAGTGAGGACCATGTCAGGGTCATTGAGCATGTGCAGCCCGTCCAGGGTCAGCGGGTCGATCTTCAGCTCATCTAGGGGAAACTGAGAGTCTGCGTCGAAGCTGATGTCAGCCGACAGAGAGCTGCAAGACAACCCCTTGGACAGTCTGGGTGGAGACTCTCCCGTGGCTTAAACACACATGGTTAGAGAGATGAGGAGAGGTCAGAGTCTTCCAGCTGTGTTTACTCCACATAAAAAAACAGGATCTCATTAAATATTTCAAGGAACTGTCAATAACTACAATTGAGTGCTAAGCAAAATAACATTTAAATAAATACAGAAAACCTCTACTTTTAATGAATTTAGCTGAAGTTAGGAATGGAGGTACAGTCATGACTGAAATTATTGGCACCCTTGATAAAGATGAGCAAGAAATAATACAAATACTGACCTATATTGAATGCTCAGAATAAATACTATTTTATACTAATACAACTGCTCAGCGAAAAATATTTTGTTTAACAAGTAACACATTTTTCTCTAAAAGATCGGGGTGCCAATAATTTTCACCCCTGTTTTCAATACTCCGGCACCCTCCCTTTTAGAGGATAACGGCACTGAGGCTTTTTCAAAAGTGTTTTATGAGATTGGAGAACACATTGGGAGGGATCTTAGACCATTCCTCCATACAGAATCTTTCCAGATTCTTGATATTCTTTGTCTGCGCTTATGGACTGCCCTCTTCAATTCAAACCACAGGTTTTCAATGGGGTTCAAGTCCAGAGACTGAGTAAAATGTTGATTTTGTGGTCAATTAACCATTTCTTTGTGGATTTTGATGTGTGCTTGGGGTTATTGTCTTGCTTTTGTGTGGATTACTGTGGCTTTTTAGCAGCAATATTCAAACTGCAAATTACTTTGCTATTCTTACTACATGTAATAGAAACCATATGTCCAAATTATTATTTGTGAAGGCAGTTTAGACCTGAAACAGACACTACCTTCTCAGACTGTTAGCAAACGTTCTCGACGAACAGAAAACAAATGGAATGCGTTAGCTAACGATTGCAAACGTTCACAAACAATTTCACTTGCTGAACGCACCTCAGATCAGGGATTTTTCTGCCATTGAAATCCTCAGGCAGTATAAAAAAATGGAAATACATTTTCGGGATGGAAAAACACTTTCAGTGTAAACTTAAACAACTAAAACCAGATATAAAGTATGTAGAAAAGATAATGAAACTATATATTTTCTAAATAATATGATCTTTGAGAACTAACAATCACCAAAATAAAAGCTAGATGGAAAGGGAAAATCGAAAATTCCAAAACATTTAGCAGTATAGATTTTGTTATTATGTTTGAGCAAAACAACACAGCATTAGCCATGGCAAAATGCGTAGAATTGCAGGACATTAGCTTTAAAACTGCAAAAATCTGTCGATGTGCCCTTGAGCAAGGCACTTAACCCTAATTGCTCCTGTAAGTCGCTCTGGATAAGAGCGTCTGCTTAATGACAATTGTATTTTTCCTTTTTGTATATTTGTCCCCACAAGAACAAAAGGGTTGGGCTGGCCGACTAAGATAGAGCTCACCCTGGCCCTGGTAAGTACTTGTTCTTCCTAGGTAGATATACTAACAAGAGCAGTCCACTTAAACATTCAGACAGGTTATGGAACAGCTAGGCGTGCCTTGGACCCGTAGACATAACAATAGTTAGAGCCTTGTATGGAGAGAGTGTTTACATTGACGGAACTCTATTCTACTGCCTAGCCTTACTGAGGCTTGAGTGAGCCACCTGGTGTGTCAGAATAGTACCTGTGAGAATGATGTTGGGGATGTTGCCATGGCTACTGTAGCCCAGCTGCTGGGAGTCTTGCAGGTTGCCGTGGCTACCTGTCAAACCCATCATGGCTGCTTGGGAGTAGTTGAGGGTTGAGCCCTGGCCGTACAGACTATTGTTGTCGATCATGTTGAACTGCTCCAGCTGTTCGAGGAACAGAGAAAGCACATCAACATACCATGAGGTTAGCCAACACTCAACAACAAGGGATCATTTCTGTACACAAATGATAAATATAAAGATAAAGTACAATTGAAAACAAACTAGAGGCATATTACTCTATAGTGTTTTGTTTCCCAAATATTGTCAGAATGGATCAATGGATAGCCCATTATATCAAAAGTGTCTTATCCAATATATGTTCCACTATTGTGTTGTGATGCAAACATTTTGGAAAATATTGCCATATAAAAAAGTATCTAATATTAGCTTGCATAATTAGTCCTGAGGTGGACTGTTAAACTTAACTTACCTGTTGGGAGAGAGCACTGGTCTGTCTGGATGTGAGTTGCTGGTCATAGAAGTCAGCAAATACACTGCCCAATATGGAGTTGTGCTAGAACACAAGCAGATCCCCTCTTTTTGTTAAAAACAACACCAGGATATTAATGCACAAGTATAAAACACGGGAGAAGAAGAGCAGACACAGAGAGCGTTTGAATCACACCACAACTCTGTAAATGAATGATTTCACAATTCATAAGACATTCATATCAAATGATTGGGTTTGGCTTTCCATTGAGCTCCAGGCAACACAGAAAACACTGCACACATCTGAAATCCTGCAAACAAACCATAACATATTGTAGCCCACAGTCTAGATTAAGCATGATACAGTACAAGCCCATCAATTAATTAGCTGTGCATTCAACCTCAATCTCATCCATCATAGTAACCGCTTCAGATCTATGCCCATCTCATCTTTAAAGATGACTCGATAGATCAATTGCATTTACCTCTTGTTTCTCTGATGTTCATGTTAAGTGCCCAACCAGCCAATATGTCAACATGCACTGAATACTAGGACCTACTCGAAAGCACATAAATGTTATCAACCCACAACCAATAATGTTGTAGGGAGTCTTTCAAAGGGTTGCGGTTAACATGCAAGCCTTGTACTGAGAATTCTGATATACTTTAAATAAATACAATGATATGAAATAAAATGAAATCATATGGAAATCCCTTTTCTGAGTAAAGCTAGAATTTACAAAACATTCAATCATCCAGAAATGCTCTTAAAGTTTTAATTGCATATCCTTATTAAACCCGAAAAAGTATCCTCTTTCATTGTCCGCCTTAATGTATAAATAATAGGAGCATATTCACAGGCAGTCTCTAAGGCAGCCTTCGCCATGCCCCTTTAAGTTCAGAACCACATTATCTGTGCCCTGCCAAAAGAACAGCGGGGAAGAACATGATAATAGCACATGGACTGTCAGCTGCACTGCATATAACCCACAACACTGTAGGTTAGCCATCTAGATGAGAGAAAGAATCGATGGTAAAGCCAACAGAAGCACAAACGAATGAACAAACACAACAAATATGTAGCTAGTAGCTACTGAATTAAATATTTTCTGATTCCCCTAACAAGAGATTACTTAGTCGTTCAATGTTGTAAGTTCAATGTAAGTTTAGGCCTATATTATACATTTACATTGAACTTACAACGTACATCTAGCCTACAGGTCCTTGTAGAGGGACCCTGCTCCTTCTTGATTTTTCACAATAAACAAGTGATTTAAAACTCTAGCAAGTATAAAAGGTGGCTCAGGTGGCTAAGTGTTAATACTAACTACATTTTCCTTACTCACCTAACTAGCTAAAGGGTATCAATTAAGCGACTATGCTACGAGGCCACTTAGGATGCAGACACAGAGAAGCAGCAGGGGGGACGGGGTCAGTGACACTGCGAGAAACGACGATGGGGGTGGCAGGGGGTTGGTGACACAAGAGCAGCCAGTAGGGGCAGCCAAGGGGCCCAGCTGGCGACGAAAGCAGAACTACGATGGAGGAACAGTGTATACAGTCAGCGGGTTTTGGTCACACGCCCTTACTTGAGGCGAGCCTCCAGGTGAGAAGCCTTGATTGGAGACTGGAGAGGTTGGAGACTGATTGGCTGAAGACCCAGCCCTACTGCGGTACTGTTGGGGGAAAGAGCCCTAATACAGGATATTTTTGTTAGACTGACTGACTGACTGACTGACTGACTGACTGACTGACTGAGCCCCTTCTGAGAAGGTATGCTGTGTGTGTCCCAGCCTGGCCATGAGGACACATACACACAGAGGATGGGGCTCATGTCTTTGCTAAATCTGTGCTAAAGATGCCCTGGATTAGTTGACTTGTACCATCATCATGGCCTTGATTTAGCCTAACTGCATAAAGAGACCAGAATTAGGCTAACAATCAAATGTTTAATGGAATCCCTCAGAGACTCTCTGGCTTCAATGATCATCAAAAGTAATTGTTATGTAAGGGTTTGTTCCTCCTTTAGGGTGTGTACTGTGCAAATAGCTGACTCACTAGCTAGCCATTTGGGGTCATTCTTCAACAAGATAACCGAGTAATCAACTGGCATTTACAGTAGTAGCTCTCTCCTCTCTGTTTGTCTTCCGCTCAAGACAAGAGCACTGAAATCCACTTCCACAAGATCCAGCACATCGCCAGTACAATGGTAAAATTCCATACGCTAGCAGAGTGGAACTAACCTTTCACGGAGTTGCATTGTTTTCCAGAGAAGGCATAGAGCCCGGAGTTGATTATCCCTTTTATACCATGGCTATAATTTAACACATTTGCATGGTAGAATTCAATGGCTAGTTCATTCTTACATGTTCAATGTTTGAGCTGCTTTCGAAAGCAAAAGTCAAATTGAAAACATTATTGGCATTGTTGAATTCGATTTTCATAATAGCAAGCTAGGACTGATGGTTTGGTTAGCTAAACTAGCAAGTCTGTTTGGTTGGTTACCATGGCAATCGTTCATTATTTTCCATAGAGCGCATAGCCCCTCATTGATTATTCTTTACTAATTGTACATATAGGGCCTAATATAGATTTTTCTGTAGCCTACATTATGTGGCCGGCGCAGGCACACATAATAAAGCGGTAGTATTAATCTCACCATTTGAATCTCACCATCACTGTTTTTATAATGAGAAAGTGACACAAAACCAGGTTCATTTTTTTTATGGAAGGATTTGTATGGAAAGCCAAGTTGAAGCCAACCGATGTTGTCGTCCTCATAATAACCGCACGTGGTTTTACCGCAACAGAGTAGCAAGAGCCTTCAATTGAAGCGGCGGGAAACAAAGGAATGTGGCCACATCTCTCACAAAAACGGATCAAAAATGAAATCACAGATAATTATAAAGGAGCAGGAGAACTTATAATTTGGCTACAATAATTACAAGGACTTCTCAAGCACCAAATTGTGGAAATGTCTGATTTTCAAGGTAGGCCTACTCCGGTACTTGAATTTCTGAGCTCCAAATTCAAGTTCAAGTAGGATTCTTCAAGCCCCTTGTATTGTTTAAAATTGCAGGTGTAACATGGAAAACAAAATGTATTTGTTATGTTATTTCATTACCAGATCATGTAAAGACGCCCACTAGGCTATGTAATTTGTTGTCATTATATCCAGAATAATTCATAGGAATAGCTTTGAGTGTTGTGGTCCTCTGTAGCTCAGCTGGTAGAGCACGGCGCTTGTAACGCCAAGGTAGTGGGTTCGATCCCCGGGACCACCCATACACAAAAATATATGCACGCATGACTGTAAGTCGCTTTGGATAAAAGTGTCTGCTAAATGGCATATTATTATATTATTATTGTGCAATAGTCTATCCTACACAATTGCACACAGTAGACACTGTGTCCAATTCGAGGCACAAAAACATATGAAAACATGAACACATTACCCTGATGCTTTCTCTGTGAAATCTAACAAGACCCTGCTGTAAATCAAGCAGAAAACAACAGATAATCAACATAAATTCGCTAGGGATATTAAATCCAGCGTGGATCCAGGCACAACTGTCTTCATGAATGGGACACCAAAATATTCTGGACATTCCTCGCGAACACCTTTTTTCCAGCACTCAGGCTGTTGTTGCATCACAACAACAGCTGCTCGCCACTTGACTGTCATTCAGAAAATTCCTTCCTGGATCAGATTATTATGTGGGAATAAGTATCAAGGTAAGGTGACTCTCTCGATTAGAAACATTCGATTTTGCAATCGCATTTATTATTTTGGATTTGTGTGCCCATGAAAACAGTTTTCACCCCGTAACATAAGAAGACACGAAATGTTACGTAGTTACACTGCATTTCTGAGATCTCTATGCAAAAAAACTGTCCAACGGCTAGATCCAGTATTCAAGTTCAATGTCTAATTTAACTGTAATGCTTAATATATATATAACAACAACTTAAACTGCCATAAATGCAAGGACAGAAAAGTAATGTTTTGGACAAATCCGTCAAGACACCAACCATGATAAAGGGTTAAACATAGGTTTTAAATAAACTCGTGAATTTTATTGAATATAGCTATGATTCCCCACTTATATCTTAATGTAATGACATTAAAAAAATTGGCAGATTATAATCAATGATTTATCAACAGCTGTAACAAGTTGTCCAGTGTTGGAAATCCTCACTGATACCCTAGCTTATAGAAAGACCTATGTATGGGTTGCTCAATAAATGATGCAGTGAATTAAGAAATAAGTGATGCTATATAGCTGAAGCAGATGCCTCTACTACGGCCATAAAATCAAAGTAAAAGGGTCAGCAATAGCTTCAGACGCATCAAGTTTACATAAAAACAGAATAACTTGTCATGATAGAAAACTGCACTCTGCTAAGAGGTAGTATACAGTATATGAACACACTTGCAACAGAAACTGATGCATTTGTATTGTAATACTATTCAATGAACCGTCTGCCTACACATGGACACTAAAATCTCTATGTTCAACACTCACGGTTGGGGCGATGCAAAAGCAATGTTTAAATAGAGAGATTGAGCAATAACAAACAATGTTGAGCAAAATTATGTTTGACACTTAAATTCCAGAGCATTTCTCTACCGAATGCTCCTGCAGCAGAAAAAAACAACCTACGTGTCCTGCTTTAAGAAGTAGGCTAGTTCCTTTGACCTCAAGATCAAACCAAAGATAGTCGAACAGGAAAAACAAAATGGTGTTCCATAGTGTAGGAACACTCTAGGTCGGTTTGAACACTAAATTTTCCTACGGACATACTATAAGATAGGGAAAAGTTTGAAGAGGGAACGGTTTGAGAAGGTAAGCTTACCGAGTTCATATCCATGGAGTTCTGTGTCTGGATGGAGGAGGTGTTCAGAGGGGATGGGAGCTGGATCTGCCTAGTCAGTGCCTGAGTGGTCTGTTGCTGTTGCTGTTGTTGCTGCTGCTGTTGAGAGGAGGACTGGCTGAAGAACGCATACTGGGACAACTGCGCCTCCAGTGTCATGGCATCTATGGTCTCCGCCTGAGACAGATGGACATAAGGGTTTGAAATTAGTCAGTGGGAAAAAGGGAGAATTATGTCTACAAACTGTGATAGAAAATAGAGTGATAGAAAAATCTACTACAATCCTCGATTCTCGTACCTTTTAGTCATTTGGCAGGTGCTTTTATCCAGAGCAACTTTAAGTGCATTCAAATAGGGAAGGATACAACTACAGAATACAATAATTGTCAATACACTAGGAAGGTTCTTTAGAAATATGTAACAATCACAGTGCTAGAAGGGTAGAGTACGGTACGTGCTACCTGGGCGAGGGTGAGTGGTGGTGACAGGGTGGGGGAGAGCTGTAGGGAGTGGTGCTGGTGGGAGTCCTGGTTGACCATGTTGTCCTGCCTGCCTTGCTGGGAGGTGGTCTGTCCTGGTGGGACACAAAACAGCAAACATCCCCTTGAGAATTCCCACAGTTTCATAGAAAGCCATAGAGTCATAGATAGATACATTTTGGCAAACTGTCTGCCATGTTGGCACCATACGTTGTCATCATCTCCTAACATCTCCCCACTTTTGGTGCCTCTTGTTGCCACATGAAAATTCAGAATTTCAAACTGGGTTTGCAAAACAGCACCCAGTTTGAAATTCTGAATTTTCATGTGGCAACAAGAGGCACCAAAAGTGGGGAGATGTGAGGAGATGATGACAACGTATGGTGCCAACATGGCAGACAGTTATTGTTCTGGAAGGTGGAGGACTGAGAGGTCACCTTGGCTGGTGGAGCTGAAACTGTGTGAGTGGCTGGTGGACAGGTTTCCCGTGCTGTTGGAGGCGCTGAGGGTGGAGTCTTCGGGGTCCAGGGGGGTGGGCAGCGGAGGGGGGAACTGGATGTTGGTCAGATCAGGCAGGGAGCCACCGCCCGTGTTGTTGGCTGATGGCATTGGCGACGCGGTCAGATCCTGATCCGGAGACGGAAATATGCTGAAAACAGAAAAAGAGATGATTGGCATCCCCACAATGACAGTTGGGGTAGTATCAATGATGTATATAAACCCTGGATTGCTGATGCTATGTATTGGCCAATGAGAGGCTTTGACGCCACCGGTCGGCCATATTGGTACTCCTCAGAAGAAGCAGTCCCTCCATAGGAATGAATGGAATTCTACAGTATTTCAATTGAAAGGACAAAATTAAATGTATTTACACTGCCTTCAGAGTGTATTCATACCCCTTGACTTATTCCACATTTTGTTGTGTTACAGACTGAATTCAAATTGGTTTAAATTGATTTTCTCTCACCCATCTACACACACGCTTTTCCAGAGCGACTTACAAATTGGAACCCCATAACGACAAAGTGAAAACATGCTTTTTTTTTATGTTGCTAATTTATTGAAAATACTATACAGAAATATCGCATTTACATAAGTATTCACACCCCTGAGTCAATACTTTGTAGAAGCACCATTGGCAGCGATTATACCTGTGAGTCTTTCTGGGTGAGTCTCTATGAGCTTTCCACACTGCCCATTATTATTTTCAAAATTCTTCAAGCTCTGTCAAATTGGTTGTTGATCATTGCTAGACAACCATTTTCAGGTCTTGCCATAGATTTTCAAGTAGATTTAAGTCTAAACTGTAACTCTGCCACTCAGGACATTCACTGTCTTCTTGGTAAGCAAATTCAGTGTAGATTTGTCCTTGTGTTTTAGGTTATTGTCCTGCTGAAAGGTGAATTCATCTCCCAGTGCCTGGTGGAAAGCAGACTGAACAAAGTTTTCCTCTAGGATTTTGCCTGGGCTTAGCTCCATTCCGTTTATTTTTTATCCTGAAAAACTCCCCAGTCCTGAACGATTACAAGCATACCCATAACATGATGCAGACACCACTATGCTTGGAAATATAGAGAGTGGTATTCAGTAATGTGCTGTATTGTATTTGCCCCAAACATAAGGCTTTGTATTCAGGACAAAAAGATAATAGCTTTGCCAATTTTGTTTGCAGTATTACTTTAGTGACTTGATGCAAACAGGATGCATGTTTTGGAATATCTTTATTCTGTACAGGCTTCCTTCTTTTCCCTTTGTCAATTAGGTTAGTATTGTGAACTACAATGTTGTATATCCATCATCAGTTTTCTCCTGTCACAGCCATTAAACTCTGTAACTGTTTTAAAGTCACCATTGGCCTCATGGTGAAATCCATGTGTGGTTTCCTTCCTCTCCGGCAACTGAGTTAGGAAGGACGCCTGTATCTTTGTAGTGACTGGGTGTATTGATACATCATCCAAAGTGTAACTAATAACTTCACCATGCTCAAAGGGATATTCAGTGTCTGCTTCTTTTTTTTTCTTCCCATCTACCAATAGGTGCCCTTCTTTGCGAGGCATTGGAAAACCTCCCTGGTCTTTGTGGTTGAATCTGTGTTTGAAATTCACTGCTTGACTGAGAGACCTTAAAGATATTTCTATATGTGTGGGGTACAGAAATTAGGTAATCATTCAAAAATCATGTTAACCACTATTATTGCACACAGAGTGAGTCCATGCAACTTTTTACTCCTGAACGTATTTAGGCTTGCCATAACAAAGGGGTTGAATACTTATTGACTGAAGACATTTCAGCATTTCATTTTTTATTAATTTGTAAAATGTAGAAAAACATAATTCCACTTTGACATTACTGTGTGTAGGCCAGTGACCAAAACATATCTATATTTAATCAATTTTAAATTCAGGCTGTAACACAACAAAATGTGAAAAAAGTAATGGGGTGTGAATACTTTCTGAAGGCACTGTAAGTATTATTTTGTTGTAGTGGGGACAAGTAACATTAGTACTCTATAAAAATTATAATTTAAGGAAAATGTTTTTAATTTAAAAGTAATAGAATAAACGTGGCAAAAAAGACTGTAGACATGAATAATAAATGCATTTCCATAGCTTCCTAAATATTTTTTTAAACGCTGGGGGAGTACTAAAATGGAGGCATGTTGGCTTCAAAACAGCGCCCCCTGTCAGTCATCTAGTGTATATATAAAGCATTGGGTAGTATATGCACAGCCAGCCGATTTCACAGGCTGCTGCAGAGTATGTCAAATAACATAGAAAAATAAATCAGAATACCGCCATCCCTGACTTCAGCAATATTTCGTCCACTGTGGGTTTGCTTTGGAAATGTACATGGTCCTTCGATCCGGATAGAAAGTTGAGCATCATGTGGTTCTGAGCGATTAGTGCTTTTTGAGTTCGGTTTCACTAGATTATTCAAAAATAATCACGGTTTTCGATATCTATATATTTTTAAAAACATTAAATGCAGTATGCGTTATGTGTGTTGAATGCTGTAACACAGAATAAAACAATTAATACAAGTTTTTAAAAATACTATTAAATGGTAGTGACTGCCCATTACTTATTAACCATATTTTATTCACATTACTTTATTTTAATAAAACATTTGTTTCGTTTTATTTTAGTAGTTCTTCAAAGTAAATACGGCATACTTTTATGACTGCTGAATACCAACTATCAATCACTTAGATCGTGTATTTTCTGGTAGAGATACCTTGTGAAGCAACTGCTTTTTATCCTTCTCGATCATGCATTCGGTCTTCTCTCAGTCTCTGTGTCTGCTCCACACTGTTCTTATTACAGCCCAGTGCTCCACACAGACCAGACAAGTAGGCGGGCGTGCAATGGATTATGGTCATTGTAGTTAATTACCACGTTTTCTGCGCTAAACTACATAGAATATTGTCCTGTTGGAAACTACAACTCCCTACTACATCGCACAGTTCAGGCTTGACCTGATTAATCTCTACATTTACATTACATTTTAGTCATTTAGCAGACAAGTATGCATTCATCTCACAGAAAAAAAACGAACAAAATGGAATTCAAATAATTGAACCAATGTCGGTCAATTAGTTGTTTAAAAAGTGAAAAATAACCAACATTTCTGTTATTCGCTCAGCACTAGCATAAATCGCTCAGCACAAGCAGCACCATGCTTCCCAGAGATATACTACTCTTTATGTTTTCAATTGCACACAAGCCCAAAGGAAGGGTAATTGCCTCCAATTGTTTTCCCTCAAATAAGATATATATATTCTCACCAATTTCGTGGTATCCAATTGGTAGTTACAGTCTTGTCCCATCGCTGCAACTCCCGTACGGACTCGGGAGAGGCGAAGGTCGAGAGCCGTGCGTCCTCCGAAACACAACCCAGCCGAGCCGCACTGCTTCTTGACACAATGCCCGCTTAACCCGGAAGCCAGCCACACCAATGTGTCAGAGGCAACACCGTACACCTGGCGACCGTGTCAGCGTGCACTGCGCCCGGTCCGCCACAGGAGTCACTAGTGCGCGATGGGACAAGAATACCCCTGCCTGCCAAAGCCTCCCCTAACCTGGACGACGCTGGGCCAATTGTGCGCCACCCCATGGGTCTCCCGGTCTCGGCCGGCTGCGACAGAGCCTGGACTCGAACCAGGATCTCTAGTGGCACAGCCTTAGACCACTGCGCCACTCAGGAGGCCCAGGAATCAGATTTCTGCTGCGATCCCTGCAAAGGACCCTGTTCACATTCTCAAAATAACAATAACATAGAATCATACACAGCCAGAACTGGCTGGATCCACAACATTTCTCAAAGATCTGAAAGTATTCCAAAATATCAGATGTCTACAGTTGAAAAAACATCAACACATCACTAAACCACCATAATCTGTCAACTGTCGTATTCAGCCATTCACAAAGCTCTACTGAAGTCAGGATTTTTTAATGTTACAGTCTGTGGGATGCTTTGAAGTACTCACTTGATTCCTGGGACCTTGGAGCTTGATAAAGCATTCTAAGGGAAAAATAAAAATTACAACTCAGAATACAATACAACTCAGTTAGGGCTGTATAACAATGTAGTGGAGATATATCACCAGATCTGGGTGCATTTCACCTTTTTGCCATCCCAGTTCTGTTTTTGTTCGTCTTTGTCCATATCTGATTCTGTGTCTTCTGGCCCTGGTACATGAAGCAGAAGCACTGGGGAGAATGAGGAAAATAAAGTAAAACAGCGAGCAAGAGAGGGAGTTGGATTTATCTAATTGTCAAATATCTAGAATAAATATATATACAGTGCTGCTTGAAAGTATGTGAACCCTAGAGGGCTGGTCATTATTTTGCTATAAAATATTAAAATAAACATAAAATCCTTATCTAAACCCCAATTCGCAATAAAGACATTCCAAGTAAATGACAGAAACAAAAATAATGATATATTATCATTGTTTGTTTAATTAAAGTGTTTTATTTAACAGAAACTCAGATTTCATGTGTGCAAAAATATGTGAACCCCTTCAGTCAATGGCTTGTGGCACCTCCATTAGCAGCGATAACTTGGACTAAACGTCTCTTATAGCCAGTAATCAGTCTCTGGCATCTGTTTTTGAGGGATTTTTGCCCACTCCTCCTTACAGAACTCAGCCAATTGAGTGAGGTTTGAGGGGTGTCTGGCATGAACTGCCCTCTTCAGGTCCTGCCACAGCATCTCGATTGGATTAGGTCAGGACTTTGACTTGGCCAATCCAATACACAAATCTTCTATCTCCTGAGCCATTCTTTGGTAGATTTGCTTGAATACTTTGGGTCGGTGTCTTGTTGGAAGACCCATTTTCGGCCCAGCTTTAGCTCCTTGACTGATGGCCTGACGTTCTGTTCAAGAATCTCCTGGTATACCTCAGAATTCATGGTTCCCTTAATGATGTGGAGTCGTCCAGGTCCAGAGGAGGAAAAGCAGCCCCAGATCTTGACATTCCCACCACCATGCTTGACTGTTTGGATAAGGTTATTTTGGTGGTAGGAAGTGTTGGGTTTTTGCCAAACATAGCAGTGTTGATTGTGACCAAAAAGGTCAATTTTGGACTCATCGGTCCAGAGAATGGACTTCCAGAAACATTCAGGTTTGTCCAGGTGGTCTCTGGCAAAGTTAAGACGGGCAGTTTGGTTCTTTTTTGACAGCAGAGGCTTCTTCCTAGCAACCCTCCCATGAATGGCATTTCGATTCAGTGTTCTTCTTATTGTTGAAGTATGCACAGTTACCTGAGATGCAGCAAGGGAGGTCTGCAAATCTCTAGGTTATGTTTGGGTTGGCTTTTACCTGATTTATTATTGTTCTTGTGGCTCTTGTAGATATTTTGGAAGGGCGTCCACTTCTAAGCCGAGTTGCTGTCATGTTAAATGCTCTCTATTTGTAAACTATTTGCCTCACAGTGGACTGATGGAGCTCAAATCGTTTTGAGATTATTTTATAGCCTTCCCCAGACTTATGTGCTCTGAGATCTCCTTTCCTCTCGGCATGGTGTGCTTTGCATTCACCTGGATGGGTAACACCAAACTGACCAGGTTTCTTATCTCCATTTATCAGAGTCCTGCCCCAACTCTTTCCTAACAATCTCTCCTTTGATTGGTTCATTTGGTAGCTAATTATTTACCCACCTGATTCTACTTACCTACTTGATTTAACCAATGCAACTTGGGGTTCACTTATTTTTGCACCTGCAGTAATTCCTTTTTAATTTAGTTTTTCTACTAAACGCATGATTTCCTCTACACCAACATATGGTATTGGGGTTCACATACTTTCAAGCAGCACTGTATATATTGAATTACCCACGCCAGCGTAGCCTGAAAATATTTCTGGTATCTCAGATTGTTCTGTCAATTCTCACATAGTAACTTCATTGTGAGAAAGGATGTTTGACATGCTTTTAACATTTGTATCACAATCAATTTTTTAGAAAATCATGATGAAAGTGGCCATTTTAGGCCCTTTTTAGACCTATAAATGCCTCCTGTAAGACCCTATGATCTGTGAACCGTACATGAAACAGACAACATCTTTGTGTCATACTCCTTATAGTGTTCTCTAAAATATGGAGTATGTCTAGATTCTGAAATACAACATTTCACATTCATTTATTCAACATAAAAAATATGAATATTCATATCTCAAAAGTACCCTTTTTGATTTTGCTTATTTTAACTCTTTGACGCATACGATCACATATTTGTGATCATTGTTGAGTGATCCCTGCAGCGTACGATCACAAATATGTGATTGGAACAGTAGCAACCGAACATATGATGCAACAAACGTGTCTAAACAGCATTGTTGTCTGAAAAGCATCTAAACAATGTTTTGTACTGATGGGAAATAAAGGTCTTCACAACTTTATTCCTCAATTTCACCTTTTATTGTAAAAGATAAATGCGAACGTCATCATCCAAACATCACACGGAACACATCCACAGCCAAACCCATTCCATAAACCAGTCTAAATAACAGGTTGCGCTGACCAAAAAACTAAACATAAGTTAGCGACCTAACAGCTAGACTTGTTTACAATGTACCACAAGGGAGAAATGTAATATTGTTTAGAAAAGAGATGCGTGTCAGCGAAGCTAACAGCAGCTAAATTCTTTATGATGGCAGCCATGTTTGTTTATGTTTGACAAGCAAAAACTCCCTAATTCCTGAATGCATTCACTATAAGATGCAAATAAACAAAGTCAAAGTCAAAGATGGCTGCGCCCATTGCCTGAAAAATATGAGCTTAGTTTGGCCACTTTTCAGCATATTACAAATCTTCGATGTACGTGTTACAGTGTATACAAGAACCGGAGCACATGACTTGACAATTAGTTTACTGTTTTTGACAAATCACAAAGCAAATAAAATGTTATCACCTCACAGGTCATCACCCCAAATACAAGCCTACTGCCTAGCCTAACTATAGTGTAAAAGCTAAACAGAGATTAAACCATTTTAGTGGGGTTTGTGGGGGGTTCCTCTCATTTGTGGGGGTTTTTCAAGTCTATGGGGGGTAGAAATGGGGGGGAAGTATCGTGGGGGGATATGATGCAGGAAATATTACTATGATGGGGGATTTATCAATAAATGGGGGGCAAACACAGGAGAAAACACAGGAGAAGTTTATACGCTAAATAAAAATAAAACCCCTGGAAATGGGGGTCTGAGCTGGCAACCCTGAGGTACCATAGTTACAATCTGATGGCGCGTTCAAAACAACTGGGAACTCAGAAATCACCGACTTCCAACTTCAGTGCGTTCAAGACAACTGGGAACTCGGAAAAAAAACAAGCTCAGACTGAGAAAAATCGTTTTGAACAGTCATCCAACTCGGAATTAAAACTCGGGAAGTCGGCCACTTTATAGAGCTCCGACCTTCTGACCTGAAGATCACTAAGGTCATGATTTGACCTCAGATTTTTCAGAGTTCCCAGTTGTCTTGAAAGCACCATAAGTCAGTCGAGTGAACTATCCCTTGTTATAACATCTTTGGTCTGACAGACGCTTACGTGACAACCAGAATTCATTGGATGATGTCAACAAACATGGAGCCACACATAGCTGGCAAATAGCTTAGCATTAGCTCATCATAATCAGTACAACCTTCAAAAAAGTATTTTACACACGTGTCCATTTCAATCTATGCAAGAATTGGAATGCATGATTTGTCACCAGTACTTGAAAACTTGAATAAAATAGTAAATACATTATGATCCATACATACATACGGCAGGTAGCTTAGTGGTTAAGAGCGTTGTGCCAGTAACCGAAAGGTCGCTGGTTCTAATCCCTGAGCCGACTAGGTGAAAAATCTGTCGATGTGCCCTTGAGCATGGCACTTAACCCTAATTGCTCCTGTAAGTCGCTCTGGATAAGAGCGTCTGCTAAATGACTAAAAATGTAAATGTATGCTACAGTAGAAACGACAACACGATATCCAGAAAATAAGGCACTTACTTTGATAGGAACGCACACATGTCCAAAGTCCAATTTGTAAGGAAAACAACAATGAAGGCAATGCAGGCACCAGCCAGAAAATGTGCCAGGGGAAAAGTTAGTGCAATGCCTGTTCTGACTAAAGATGCGCAATGTGTTCATACTTATTCTGCGGAAACACTGGGAAAGTGATTGGGCTCTCGTTGAAGAGAGAAGTTTGTTTGGCTCAGTAAAGCCTCAAACATAAATTGTCCACAACAGTGAAATGGGCTACTTCTTATGTGAATTAATGAGGAGGCGGAACACACCGTCACGACTCCCTCCAAAGCTGCCTCATCTCCTTGTTCGGGCAGGCTTCGGCCTTCTAGCCACTGCTGCTCCTCTTTTCATCATTCCATTTGTTTTGTCTTGTTTTTCACACACACCTGGTACATATCCCCTCATCAGTCTCTGTATAATTATTCCCTCTGCTCCCCCATGTCTTTGTGTGTTATTGTTCCATGTGGAGGTGTCGCTAGCTCGTGTTGAGCATTATGTTATGTCGCCGGGATATTCACCCGTGTGTTTTGTTTTCCCAGTACGCATTTAAGTCGCACTGTATTTGGTTTACGCATTGCTGCAGACTGGTGTATTGGCCTAATAAACCATATTCTTTGATTCACACCTCCTGCGCCTGGCTCCGTCCTACTCACCTTGTTACACACCTCAATTCAAACTGTTGTTAGAAAATACAACTTGTTAGAAAATCTTTTGAAATTGACAAGTTGAAACATAGCCTATAGATAATTAGCAGGCAGAGTGCCTTGGTTTGAGGGCAGCGTGGGTTAACTGTCCTGTTGCATAACAATCACATTTTGGAACAATGAGTGCATTCTGACATCACGCGGTGACCGTTAGATATATTTGGAACTCACACGTCGCCAGGCACCACACCCTCATAGAGTAATTTATTTCCCTTAATCATATCACAATCAACTTTAACCAGTTGAATGTAGACACAAATATAATACTTTTTTGTATATAAATTTTTCTGAAATAATGTATTAAAATATGCAAATGATGCGATCTCATTAAATATGCCCATATTTGCATTTCGCGCAAATCCATTCTTCTGGACACTGTATGAAGTCAGTCATACTAAAGACATGTGCGTAAAATGCATTTTTTGGCACGTTTTAAATGAAAATACTATCTAGAATAAAATAAATTGACAACATATTAACAATTCCCTCTGGGCAAGGCTGGAGAATATATCTAAGAATAACCACACAACATTTGGTGAATGCAGATGATTCTGAAGCTGATAAAAATGTGCACTGAATTTAGACTACCAAACGCCAAACACCTATTTAGACCCAATCACCATCTCTTCAAAGTAAGTTACTAAATATAGTCCAGTTTGTAACATTCTCTATGAAATGGGCTTTTAAATGTGTAATTTAATGTGGTAGGCAGTGAGCTTTGCAAATTATTGATATATGTTCATTTGAAAGTGGTTAATTAACATTCATGAACATTTAGATGACAGTAGTATGTTAAACTAAAGAAAAGTTGACATTATGTTTACTTTTTGAAAATCCAAAAATAATGGACCAAAATACCAACAAGTCTCCAAATTGATAGGTAGATGCAAAAATGTTATTTCAGCATGTGGTGCCTGGCCTTAAGACATTGTTTGTAACAATATACTATTTAGACAGTGGCCTCTGGTACTTTGTAATTTCAGAAAATGTCCATAATATATTTGCAGTAATAGTGGAATGATAGTGTTTCACAATATTACTTACTGGCCAGTGTTGTGATTGCCTGTGATATTCACCTATTGATTTCTCCCACCGGAGCGGCATCTGTTGTAAAAATGTGAAAGCTGTTCTGACTTTGTGGCTGTGTTATCTAGTGGAAATCACTGTCCTTTCCTGGTTTCTAAAATTCTACACTGTTCGCTCAATTTCAGTTTATGTGAGAAAACAAGCACTGAATATTGTAGGGAATCATACCATCTAAATTGCTGTGAAATTTCTTTTCAATAACAAAAACTATTGTTTTTAAATCGCGATTTTGGTCCACCAGCTTCAAACTGCTGTAATTACTATATTTTTGTTTATTGAAAAGATATCTCACAGCGATGTAGATGGTACAATGATTTCCTACACTATTCAGTGCTTGTTTTCTCACATAAACTGAAATTGAGCGAATTTTAGCAACCAGGAAATGACAGAGCGATTTCAACAAGATAACACAGCCACAAAGTCAGAACAGCTTTCAAATTTTTACAACAGATGCCGCTCTGGCGGGAGAAATCAATAGGTGAATATCACAGGCAATCACAACACTGGCCGGTAAGTAATATTGTGAAACACTATCATTCCACTATTACTGCAGATATATTATGGACATTTTCTGAAATTACAATGCAAAACAATATATATATATCCTATGTGTAGCACAGGGGTCTCCAACCTTTTCTAGCATGAGAGCTACTTTAAAAAAAGAAACATGTTGCAAGCTTTTATTTTTGCTTTCAAATAGGCAAATGTGTCTCTTCTCCTCTCCCCTGCAACTCTTCCCCGGGTCCTTAGTGTACAAGAGAAAGTAGTGCACCGTTTCCTGTCAATATACAGTGGGGAAAAAAAGTATTTAGTCAGCCACCAATTGTGCAAGTTCTCCCACTTAAAAAGATGAGAGAGGCCTGTAATTTTCATCATAGGTACACGTCAACTATGACAGACAAAATGAGAAAAAAAATCCAGAAAATCACATTGTAGGATTTTTAATGAATTTATTGGCATATGATGGTGGAAAATAAGTATTTGGTCAATAACAAAAGTTTCTCAATACTTTTGTTATATACCCTTTGTTGGCAATGACACAGGTCAAACGTTTTCTGTAAGTCTTCACAAGGTTTTCACACACTGTTGCTGGTATTTTGGCCCATTCCTCCATGCAGATCTCCTCTAGAGCAGTGATGTTTTGGGGCTGTCGCTGGGCAACACAGACTTTCAACTCCCTCCAAAGATTTTCTATGGGGTTGAGATCTGGAGACTGGCTAGGTCACTCCAGGACCTTGAAATGCTTCTTACGAAGCCACTCCTTCGTTGCCCGGGCAGTGTGTTTGGGATCATTGTCATGCTGAAAGACCCAGCCACATTTCATCTTCAATGCCCTTGCTGATGGAAGGAGGGTTTCACTCAAAATCTCACGATACATGGCCCCATTCATTCTTTCCTTTACACGGATCAGTCGTCCTGGTCCCTTTGCAGAAAAACAGCCCCAAAGCATGATGTTTCCAACCCCATGCTTCACAGTAGGTATGGTGTTCTTTGGATGCAACTCAGCATTCTTTGTCCTCCAAACATGACGAGTTGAGTTTTTACCAAAAAGTTTATTTTGGTTTCATCTGACCATATGACATTCTCCCAATACTCTTCTGGATCATCCAAATGCACTTCAGACGGGCCTGGACATGTACTGGCTTAAGCAGGGGGACACGTCTCGCACTGCAGGATTTGAGTCCCTGGCAGCGTAGTGTGTTACTGATGGTAGGCTTTGTTACTTTGGTCCCAGCTCTCTGCAGGTCATTCACTAGGTCCCCCCGTGTGGTTCTGGGATTTTTGCTCACCGTTCTTGTGATCATTTTGACCCCACGGGGTGAGATCTTGCGTGGAGCCCCAGATCGAGGGAGATTATCAGTGGTCTTGTATGTCTTCCATTTCCTAATAATTGCTCCCACAGTTGATTTCTTCAAACCAAGCTGCTTACCTATTGCAGATTCAGTCTTCCCAGCCTGGTGCAGGTCTACAATTTTGTTTTTGGTGTCCTTTGACAGCTCTTTGGTCTTGGCCATTGTGGAGGTTGGAGTGTGACTGTTTGAGGTTGTGGACAGGTGTCTTTTATACTGATAACAAGTTCAAACAGGTGCCATTAATACAGGTAACGAGTGGAGGACAGAGGAGCCTCTTAAAGAAGAAATTACAGGTCTGTGAGAGCCAGAAATCTTGCTTGTTTGTAGGTGACCAAATACTTATTTTCCACCATAATTTGCAAATAAATTCATAAAAAATCCTACAATGGGATTTTCTGGATTTTTTTCTCTCAATTTGTCTGTCATAGTTGACGTGTACCTATGATGAAAATTACAGGCCTCTCTCATCTTTTTAAGTGGGAGAACTTGCACAATTGGTGGCTGACTAAATACTTTTTTTCCCCACTGTACCTGGTAAAATAATTAATAAACAATTCTAAAATCTGTGAATGTTTTTCCAAAATTATGTTTTATATTTTCCCAAATTATGTTTTTTCAGTTTTATTTGTCCTGATTTTAGATTTTTGTTTTGTTTTTCACTCTCAAAATTACAATTGTTAATTCGAGAAACAACGAAATTGGATGTTCTGAGTCGATGTCAATGCTTTGGTCTGGGAGAAAACCTTTTTTTTGTGTGTGTGTAATTCCCCTTTAATTGCCCATCTAGTGTGCCTTCTAATGTGCCGGTCTAGTGATGGTTCTGTACTGCTGCTGCTCAATTCATGGCAAAGTTTGCAAATAACAAGTAATAGATGCAAATTATATACTTACTCCCCTGTAGCTCAGTTGGTAGAGCATGGCGCTTGCAACGCCAGGGTTGTGGGTTCGTTTCCCACGGGGGGCCAGTATGAAAAATGTATGCACTCACTAACTGTAAGTCGCTCTGGATAAGAGCGTCTGCTAAATGACTAAAATGTCAAATGTAATGATATACTTCTGCCAAGTAAGCCTACTTTGCAGTTAACATTTAATTGAGAAGGTTTTGGGGGAAGTACTTCTATCAACTCACAAGATGGTTATCGCATCAACTGGCTACACACTGAGTGATAGACAAACGCCCGCACCACACAGACAGAAAGGGGCAATATTGCTGGAAATTAATTGGCAGATAATGTGTTAGATTTGGCTTTTTAAGCCAATAGCGGCTAACCAGGGATGGGATAATTTCAATGTTGCGTTAGTTAGATAGTAGCTGGAAGCTTGCGGTGTCTGATACTTGTGAGATTTGTTTATAACAGTTTGCGGTGGAACACGTTGTTGGAGACCCCTGGTGTAGCACCTTTAACCAATCACAGCCCTCCTTTAGGATTGCACATTCAGCAAATCACCAGCAAATTCCCTTTGAATCCATTTCCCCATTCACTCTGTTAGGAGAGAGCCCACTCTGGAAATGTGATGAATTTATAGAGTATATTGTTCCAAACATCAAAAAGGCTACTTTTAATATATTAATATTTTTAATGTTGAATAAATTAATGTGAAAAATTGTATTTCAGAATCAAGACATACTCCATATGTTAGAGCACACTACAAGGAGTATAATGACACCAAGATGTTGTCTGTATCATGTACGGTTCACAGATCATAGGGTCTTACAGGAGGCATGTATAGGTCTAAAAATGGCCACTTTCATCATAATTTTCTAAAGAATTGTTTGTGATACAAATGTAAAAAGCATGTCAAACATCTTTCCTCCCAATGAAGTTTCTATGTGAGAATTGCCAGAACAATCTGAGATACTCCAAATATTTTGGGCCTACGCTGGCATGGAATCGCCCGAAAACACTTCAGACAGCCATTAGTATAATATAACATTGAGAACCACTTGGATATTCCTATTCGTCCCTTGAGTAATGTCTAAAGCCTTTTATCATGTACACTAGAGACTATTCAATAGTTAAATAAAGAGTAGCCGGCAAAGCCATTACAAAATATTTAATTGTCAATACATTGTATACCACCTCCCTCATCACAACTTGGCTAATTAATCAGGGCTGGACTCAAAAATTGTTATTAAGCCTACCAACTGGAAACAGAGCATTGTACCCTACAATGGCTATGCATTCCTCTCATGGGGTCATTGTAGGGCCAATACATTTTGTTACCTGTTTCTGTCCAAAATAATTAATGTCTAATGATGAACTAATGGAAAGTTTATAAAACTTGTAGTATCAAGTTCAAATCCAACACACCTCGTTTAGGCTGCATGTCCTGTGAGCCTCCTGCGAAAATGTCCTGTGGGTTCAAAGTGCTCTGATGCAACGCTGAGTCTGAGTTAGTCCTATAGCACAGGGAAAGAGACATACACCACTTAGGGGTGACCAAATGTATCAGTTGTGGAAAGTCAAGGGGACGTTTCACAATGAAATCCCAACAGTATCACATGTCACATAGTTAGGTTATCTTACCTCCTCCAACTGGTGTCGGGTGGGGGTGACAGATACACCGAGCCATATGGACAGCTATCAATGTGATACCCCTGGTTAAGGGCAACACAAATCTGTAGCATTTCACAACTCAAGTCAATGGATGTAAAACACCATTATGCCATATAGTACAGCATATGCTTTTGAAGTAAAATGGTTAAAGATGTTGCATAGTGGTGCTTGCGTTAATGAATCAAAGGCAAATTAATTGGTCATTACTGTAAAATTACTATGTAATTACCATATTACTATGTTATTCATAATCAAATATCCGTTTCATAGCAGACTGTAAGTGTTATCAACTATAAAGTAGCGTAAACCGACAGTAAAAGATATTTGGCGTCCATGTTTGTCGAGGGGCCTTCCGTGTGGGGACGTGATGCGGTTTCTGTCCCGGTAAACTCTGTCAACCAATCCATGATGCCGTGTTGTTCTGCTAGTGTCACCTGAACCTTGAAAAGGAGTCTGCAGAGACCAACAAATAAAACCAGTTACAAGCTTCATAGATAAATGATAGCAAAATATGTCAACAAAAGAGTAAACACATCTACCATTTAGGGTAAGACCACACATACAGCGCCTTCAGAAAGTCTTCACACCCCTTGACTTGATTTTTTAAAATTGAGATTTTTTTTGTCACTGGCCTACACACAATACCCCATAATGTCAAAGTGGACTTGGGTTTAGAAATGTTTACAAATTAATAAAAATGAAAAGCTGAAATGTCTTAAGTCAATAAGTATTCAAGCACTTTGTTATGGCAAGCCTAAATAAGTTCAGGAGTAAAAAATGTGCTTAACAAGTCACATAATAAGTTGCATGGACCATAATAGTGTTTAATATGATTTTTGAATGACTACCTCATCTCTGTACCCCACACATACAAATATATGTAAGGTCCCTCAGTCAAGCAGTGAATTTCAAACACAGATTCAACCACAAAGACCAGGGAGGTTTCCCAATGCCTCGCAAAGAAGGGCACCTATTTATAGATGAGTAAAATATTTTTAAAAAAGCAGACATTGAATATCCCTTTGAGCATGGTGAAGTTATTAATTACACTTTGGATGGTGTATCAATACACCCAGTCACTACAAAGATACAGGCGTCCTTCCCTACTCAGTTGCCGGAGAGGAAGGAAACCATGAGGGATTTCACCATGAGGCCAATGGTGACTTTAAAACAGTTACAGAGTTTAATGGCTGTGATAGGAGAAAACTGAGGATGGATCAACAACTATGTAGTTACTCCACAATACTAACCTAATTGACCAATTGAAAAGAAGGAAGTCTTGTTTGCAACAAGACACTAAAGTAATACTGAAATAAGTGTGGCAAAGCAATTATCTTTTTGTCTTGAATACTAAGTTATGTTTGGGGCAAATCCAATACAACACATTACTGAGTACCACTCTCCATATTGTCAAATCTGCTTGAAAATCTATAGCAAGACCTGAAAATGGTTGTCTAGCAATGGTCAACAACCAATTTGACAGAGCTTGAAGAATTTTGAAAAGAATAATGGGCAAATGTTGCACAATCCAGGTGTGGAAAGCTCTTAGAGACTTACCCAGAAATACTCACAGCTGTAATCGCTGCCAAAGGTGCTTCTCCAAAGTATTGACTCAGGGGTGTGAATACTTATGTAAATTACAATTAGCTAACATTTCTAAAAACAAATTTTCACTTTGTCATCATGGGCTATTGTGTGTAGATGGGTGAGATGTTTTTTTTTTTTATATCCATTTTGAATTCAGGCTGTAACACAACAAAATGTGGAGGGGTATGAATACTTTCTGAAGGCACTGTATGCCAAACTGAGTCCTACAACACACACACTTACCTGAAAAGGCATGTCAATGGTGCCATTTCCAATCTGATTGACATTTGGCAATGATCCGCCATAGTACTGCCCACGGTTTTGTCCCAGCTGTAAATACTGGGTCTTCTGTAACTGTAACTGTATAAGGAGAATGAGGAAACAAAACAAGAAGCAAACATGGCGTCAGATAATGTTAGGTATGAAATATTCAAAAAATAATTCAATAAACAAAATGAGTGACACAGAGAGCACAAAAATTCTGACTGACCAAAAAACAACACTTTCCTTGTTTAACATTGATTTTATAGATTACAAATCACTCCATCCAGCTCAGTTAGTACCAAGGGGATAAGACTTGTCTGGCCTAAGCGAGCGCCTATTGATGCGTGAAAATGACATTTACACACCTTTAACCTCAAATTTACCTAATAAGCTTCATAGAGAAAATCGATTTTCCAGTAATTACAGATCACCCGTGACTAAAATATGTTTTCATTATTTACAATCTTGCCACACCGCCTCATCTTGACATTGAATGGCGCCACATATAGGCCTAGCTGGGATAACCATTACCTATATGAATGTCTTTCCATCCCTACAAAAACTCAAGGTCACACCCTTATAGATTCAACAGTTCACCTGCTATGAGTATGCAAATAGTTGATCCATGGTTGGCTGTGATTTCAGGTGGTGACAGCCAACTACATACATTTCAGGAAGTTATATTATGTACTAGAGATACTGAGTAATATCACGAGACAATTATTTTGTTTAGAAAATCTGGTATTACTCATGTAAAGAAATCAAAGTTGTTTAATCCTATATGCAGATAGTACCCAAGCTGTTCATGTCTGTCACACACCCACTATTGACTAAAGCAGGGAAATCATTTAATAACAATCTCTAAAGCCTATCTCTCCAGATTATTTCAAAAATACAGTAATCTCCCAATAGTGAGTCAAGTTTGAATACATCTTGTTATTTTGTTGACAGAAGATTACATGCATTTTGGGATCAGTGTTTCAGAAATCCAACCACATATGAATCTAGTCAAAAGGGTGAATGTGACTACTTCAGTGAACTTGTAGGCCCACTGCACTGTCAAAAGTTATTATCAAATACTGAGTATTAGACTAAACGTTCCTATTATTGTATGCATATGTTACAAAGTAAGTATTATGTTTTTACCCTTATACTATACTAGGGCTGGGAATTGCCTGGGACCTCATGATACGATATTATCACAATACTTAGGTGTCGATACGATATGTATTGCGATTCTCACGATTCTATATGTATTGCGATTCGATACTGTGATTTTATTGCAATTCGATGTTCCAAACATATATTGCTCACCATATGTCTGCTGCAGAGGGTCAAGAGAGAGCCATGAGAAAATGAGTTATCAGTCATAGAAATAAAAGTGTTGAAAACCAATTGGCTCCCTATTTAAAAAGAAAATGGAAAACAAGCTATGAAAGAAAAATACTGGAGTTTTGGTGCAGGTATACAGGCAACTAGCACAAAAATAATATTGCGATTTTGTCAAAATGATACGATATATTGTCCAAAATAATATCTTGATATGTAACTGTATCGATTTTGTAACCCATCATTATACTATAGGGCCAAAAGCAATATGTTAAAGAGATTCTTGTATACTTTTTAGCTAGTAGATCTGAATGTAGTGCTCATGAGCCAAAAGTGGTCCCCAAAAATTGCAGATATGTGCACCACGTCATTGCTCTCTCTCTCTGCTGTGTGTGCATCTTGCTAGCAGTCACTCAAATGGTGAGGGGCTAAAGCTCATTGGCTAGAACTGGAATTGCTAGGGGGCTGCCCCACGTGAGGTAAAATATAGGGGAAAAGGCGCATAATTTCCAGAAAAACAATTGCTTTCAAACTAGGGATTTCATGGCTAATTGAGGTAACAGTAATTCTGCTCATAGATTATGCATGTCTGAACTACACATTGACACATCCAGCCCAAAGTTCCGGAGCATGTCTTTATATAGTGAAACCTATACTCTTCCCAAATGTGTTAGTTGAAATTGCACCCAGGTATGCCTTCCAAAGGTTCCGACCTAACAATAAATCACCTACTCCAGGAAAAATAATAGATGTTACCTCAACACTGACTGAATCAATAGAAAATGTATTAATTATAGAAAATGTGTTACTTTCTACTGTGAATTAAAAACATAAACTGTAGCTCAGTTGGTAGAGCATGGCGCTTGCAACGCCAGGGTTGTGGGTTCGTTTCCCACGGGGTGCCAGTATGAAAATGTATGCACTCACTAACTGTAAGTCGCTCTGGATAAGAGCGTCTGCTAAATGACTAAAATGTAAAAATGATAACTGTCCAATGTATGGTACCATCCAAATAAGGATGCAGTCATTTAACCAGTCAGTGAGCTATGCCAATGTTGCTACAGTATCTCAGAACCCGCCCATTTGAAACTATTTCAAATGCGCGGGTTCTGCTGGCAACGTTTCTCAAATGCACCAATGTTATTTCGTATACATTTTGTAGAAAAATGTACTGCCAAAACCACTGACATGACATTGATGAAGAGCGCAATATTCTGCTGGCATTAGAGGCCTGCGGCATGCGGTTTAACATCAACATAATCTGTGCGGGGTTGTCCTCATCGTTGATATGCCACTGTCAATCATATTACTGTACTTGTCTGCCCAGTCTCACAGCACGAATGCTTTTTCCACCTGATTATTAGGCTATATGTCTTTGGTGATCTCTAAACTGAAAATACTGCATTCCAAAATGTTTCAATACATAGAAATTGCTGTTCATCTGAAGCTTCTTCCTCCCTTTGAGCGCGATCAGAAAAACCAACGAACGTTCTATTTTGATGTGGCTGTCAAACACGCATGCACGCCCCATATTAGTTGGCTATTGCTTTGCACTGGAGCTATATTGTGCAACTTTTGAAGACGGGGGTCTGGAGTCGGGATACCGCTGCATTTGAGAATAACTACACGAATACGATAATAAGGCGGCTGGTTGCCATTCATGTCAAGAAAATTTGCTGGCACATATGGGGCTGTTTGTTATTGTTTACCTCCCTGGCCAAGCTAAGTGCCCGCCGCGCATATTCCTGCATTTGACAGCTCACGAGCAATAACAGCAAATGGGTAAAAACAGAGACGCTTACCCTCGCTGCTCGAGTAATACTCAAATCTTTCATCACTTCCTCGAATGCTGCGGTCTCCTCTGCCTGCTTCTGATTATGTAAAGCGATTTTCTCGCTAAATTTCCGCGGATTGTTTGATGTCGCCATGTTTCGCTCTTCTGCTCCGCTTTCCCTCAATGACGTTGCATGCACACGTCCTTGGGCGTGGGCGTAGTTTACGCGCACATCTGGAACGTCTGCATTCCCAACCTTTTTCACCAGGGATGGGTAAAATACAAAAAGTTATATTAAATTATAAATTTCCCCCTCATTGTTGCTTGTCTGAACATGTTATCCACTGTCCAGTTGTCAGTATGCGGATAATAACAAAAATAAGATAACTTTCATGAATTATCCTCTAAAGAACTTGTTTGTCAGGTTCTTCTTCTTTTGACTGCCTTTTGTATCCACTTAGCCTACTGTAGCCTTCATGGCATAACAATACTCCATCCTGTTCCCCTTATTTTCCTCTGATGAAAGTTATAGTCTATAAAAGTGGTTGTGTGTCTGTTCCTTTCCAGTTCTTGTAGGCCTAGTGTCTTTAGTAACTAACCACTGGCCAGATGTCCCCACTCAAAGGAGGGTGCTTACTGGTAATATAATTCTCACTGGGAATTAAATGCATAAACCACTGTAAATCACAACATTCACTACTAATATGCTTAAAGTACCAATACTGTCAAAAAAATAATCTCAAGGTTATTTTTTCGACAGACACTAAGGCCAAAGACGAGGTTTTTAGCTACCGGAGCAGTCCAACCACAATGAAACAATATGCTGTTTCACCCACCATTCAGAGTAGTGGAAATAAATTGGCTGTAAAGTAACCAAGGAAACCATTGAAGATTGTATTCCAGGGCAATGGGTGTGTGGGATTATGCTGTTATTGCCGACTAAACCCTGGAAAAAACCTTGAAGTTGAGCCTCAATGAAAAGGCTAGGTAAAATGGAGAGAATGTCATGTCTTAGTAGATTCCTGTATTCTGCTCCTCAGATATTATGCTCATCTGGTTACATAAACACATAAACAGCAAGCATTTCCAAAGCATGAGACAGCATGCTTCCCTGTACATACAGTGCTTTCAGAAAGTATTCAGACACCTTTACTTTTTCCACATTGTGTTAGGTTACAGCCTTATTCTAAAATGGATTAAATAAAAAAATATCCTCAGCAATCTACACACAATACCCCATAATGACAAAGCAAAAACAGGTTTTTAGTCATTTTTGGAAATGTATTTAAAAAATGTTTTTAAAAAGTTACTTATTTACCTAAGTATTTGCTATGAGACTTGAAATTGAGCTCATGTGCATCCTGTTTCCATTGATCATCCTTGAGATGTTTCTACAACTTGATTGGAGTCCACCTGTGGTTTGGAAAGGCACAGACCGGTCTATATAAGGTCTGACAGTTGACAGTGCATGTAAGAGCAAAAACCAAGCCATGAGGTCGAAGGAATTCAAATCAAATCAAATTGTGTTTGTCACATGTGCCGAATACAACAGGTGTAGACCTTACAGTGAAATGCTTAAATACAAGCCCTTAACCAACAATGCAGTTTTAAGAAATAATACCTAAAAAAACAAGAAATAAAAGTAACAAATAATTAAAGAGCAGCAGTACAATAACAATAGTGAGGCTATATACAGGGGGTACCTGTACCGAGTCAATGTGCGGGGGCACCGGTTAGTCGAGGTAATTGAGGTAATATGTACATGTAGGTAGAGTTATTAAAGTGACTATGCATAGATAATAAACAGAGAGTAGCAGCGTAAAAGAGGGGGGGGGGGGGGCAATGCAAATAGTCTGGGTAGCCATTTCATTGGATGTTCAGGAGTCTTATGGCTTGGAGGTTGAAGCTGTTTAGAAGCCTCTTGGACCTAGACTTGGCGCTCCGGTACCGTTTGCCGTGCGGTAGCAGAGAGAACAGTCTATGACTAGGGTGGCTGGAGTCTTTGACAATTTTTAGGGCCTTCCTCTGACACTGCCTGGTATAGAGGCTCTGGATGGCAGGAAGCTTGGCCCCAGTGATGTACTGGGCCGTACGCACTACCCTCTGTAGTGCCTTGCGGTCAGAGGCCGAGCAGTTGCCATACCAGGCAGTGATGCAACCAGTCAGGATGCTCTCGATGGTGCAGCTGTAGAACCTTTTGAGGATCTGAGGACCCATGCCAAATCTTTTCAGTCTCCTTAGGGGGAATAGGTTTTGTTGTGCCCTCTTCACGACTGTCTTGGTGTACTTGGACCATGTTAGTTTGTTGGTGATGTGGACACCAAGGAACTTGAAGATCTTAACCTGCTTCACTACAGCCCCGTCGATGAGAATGGGGGGCGTGCTCGGTCCTCTTCTTTTTCCTATAGTCCACAATCATCTCCTTTGTCTTGATCACGTTGAGGGAGAGGTTGTTGTCCTGGTACCACACGGCCAGGTCTCTGACCTCCTCCATATAGGCTGTCTCGTCGTTGTCGGTGATCACTGTTGTGTCATCTGCAAACTTAATGATGGTGTTGGAGTCGTGCCTGGCCATGCAGTCATGAGTGAACAAGGAGTACAGGAGGGGACTGAGCACGCAACCCTGTGGGGCCCCGTGTTGAGGATCAGTGTGGCGGATGTGTTGTTACCTACCCTTACCACCTGGTGGTCTGCTTGAAACACGTTGGTATTACAGACTCAGACAGGGAGAGGTGAAAATGTCAGTGAAGACACTTGCCAGTTGGTCAGCGCATGCTCGGAGTACACGTCCTGGTAATCCATCTGGCCCTGCGGCCTTGTGAATGTTGACCTGTTTAAAGGTCTTACTCACATCGGCTACGAAGAGCGTGATCACACAGTCATCCGGAACAGCTGATGCTTTCATGTATGTTTCAGTGTTACTTGTCTCGAAGCGAGCATAGAAGTCATTTAGCTTGTCTGGTAGGCTCATGTCACTGGGCAGCTCGCGGCTGTGCTTCCCTTTGTAGTCTGTAATAGTTTGCAAGCCCTGCCACATCCGACGAGCGTTGGAGCCGGTGTAGTACGATTCGATCATAGTCCTGTATTGACGCTTTGCCTGTTTGATGGTTCGTCAGAGGGCATAGCGGGATTTCTTATAAGTGTCCGGGTTATAGTCCCGCTCCTTGAAAGTGGCAGCTCTACCCTTTAGCTCAGTGCGGATGTTGCCTGTAATCCATGGCTTCTGATTGGGGTATGTACGTACAGTCACTGTGGGGACGATGTCATCGATGCACTTATTGATGAAGCCAGTGACTGATGTGGTGTACTCCTCAATGCCATCGGAAGAATCCCGGAACATATTCCAGTCTGTGCTAGCAAAACAGTCCTGTAGCTTAGCATCTGCGTCATCTGACCACCTTTTTATTGACAGAGTCACTGGTGCTTCCTGCTTTAGTTTTTGCTTGTAAGCAGGAATCAGGAGGATAGAATTATGGTCAGATTTGCCAAATGAAGGATGAGGGAGAGCTTTGTACGCGTCTCTGTGTGTGGAGTAAAGGTGGTCTAGAGTTTTTTTCCCTCTGGTTGCACATTTAACATGCTGGTAGAAATGAGGTAAAACAGATTTAAGTTTCCCTGCATTAAAGTTCACGGCCACTAGGGGCGCCGCCTCTGGATGAGCGTTTTCCTGTTTATTTATGGCCGTATACAGTTCATTGAGTGCGGTCTTAGTGCCAGCATCGGTTTGTGATGGTAAATGGACAGCTACGAAGAATATAGATGAAAACTCTCTTGGTAGATAGTGTGGTCTACTGCTTATCATGAGATACTCTACCTCAGGCGAGCAAAACCTCGAGACTTCCTTAGATATCATGCGCCAGCTGTTGTTTACAAATATACATAGACCGCCACCCCTTGTCTTACCAGAGGCTGCTGTTCTATCCTGCCGATACAGTGTATAACCCGCCAGCTGTATGTTATTCATGTCGTCGTTCAGCCACGACTCGGTGAAACATAAGACATTATGTCCGTAGAGATCCAAGACAGGATTGTGTCGAGGCACAGATTTGGTGAAGGGTACCAAACAAATGTCTGCAGCATTGAAGGTCCCCAAGAACACAGTGGCCTTTTTTTTCTAATCAATTATATCACGGCAACAGTAGTTATCAGTGTTGTAATCTGATCTGACTGCCACTAAATGTCAAATCAGGCTAAAGTCGTGCTTCAAATGGCCCCGCCCGTTTTTGGGGCGATTTCAGTCAGGTTGAAAATCGCCCAGAAGTCTCTCATAGCCTGTCATGTAAAATCTATTTTTTTCAAATTTCAAAGCTTTCAATACAATCTCTATGGGGGTCTGTGGGCTTGCACTTACGCGCTTTCGTCATACGTGACGTAACCATGAACGTAACTAAGCAAATAGCGGCTCGCAGCGTCTCTGTTGCGACCTGCAGTGTGGCGTTATTTTATGTTTTTAATTTGTACACTTAGTTTACAAACATTCTGCCAACCATGGATTTCCAGTGGTGGGTTTTGGACTGATCTTGTTGATCGTGTACATACCCGCTACGAACAGACTAAATAATGAAAACGCTGCTGGCAGCGGAATCCAATACAGCTGGGAGACTTGGCTGGATGACAGAGTCCCGGAGAAGTGGAGCCGGCCGGCTTCACCCTGGTCAGAGCGGACCGCGATCTGACAGTCACAGATCGATCCTGGTAAGAGAGCGACTCTGTACCCCCGACATTGAACTGCTTTCTGTGTCACTGCGACCTTACTATCTGCCCCGTGAGTTCCCCCAATTGTTTGTTACCGTTGTGTACTGTTGATAATCACAAGTTTACTGGAGAACTGAGACCAAGTAGAGACTTTGGACAGGGTGGATATGGTATAATAAAGGCAGTTTATTCAGAGGTAAAGATATCTGGAATCGCGTGCACGGACTCGTTCGTCAAACTCTTAGGGAGCTATCTTAAGAGAGCCCCGAAAACATTGTGTGCAGACATTTTATACAATAAATGATGTAGGTTGAATCTAGTAGTTCTGATCTTCTGATTGGTCCTGATGAGTTGGGCGAGGTCCCCTCCACTGTTGCATTGGCTCTGAGTCGGGTTCTCTGTCTTCAAATGTTCAGCCTAAAGAGAGGGGATTTTTGTGTGTGTGTGTGTGTGTGTGTGTTTAACAGTGATGATGTGTGTGTGTG